TCAGGTGAGCGGAGTGTGTAATATTCAGTCAGTCTGATAAACACTGCAGCTGTTACTGAGCGCTACCGGGAATGTAAACAGATGGTTTTCCACGAGCAAATACTTATTTAGTTGTTGTATTCGTATACATGTATCTTATTAGGTAAAAAATGTGTAATCTGGCTAATAATGAGTAAAGAGAGCTAAATAGATGGCTAACTGCAATGCATTAACTGGCCTAATACTGTTTGTACTGTATATGCAATACATTGTCAGTTATGTTTGTGTAATTTGTTTCTGCTATAAGAAATTTAAGCATATAAAGATTTTCGTTTTTGACATTCATTTTTTTAAATGTATTTTCTTTTCAGCTTCCATTACAAAGGTCAAAGTTGTATTTGTTATACAAGTTTAAATCGTAGATGGTTTTCCGTCATAAATGCTGGTTATTGCTGTCAGTAAGTAACTTACTGCATGATTTGAGTCAAACATCTGTCACTTAACTGCATCTGTTCTCTCTCAAGATGCTGGTGACATGAAACATGACAGCGTTTCATCTCCTGGGATCTCCGATCAAGAGAAAGAGATGGCAGCCAGTGCTTTTGAGGCATTTAAGGTAAATAATAATAATAATAATCCTTTAAGGTAAAGTGATAATAATCTGAGCAGGCGATTGTATCTATGGTTGTTTCTGGAGGTCATTGTTGATGTTATAAAGTGATGTCTCTTTAGGCTGGAAGCTATGACGAGTCCCTGAAACACCTTGACAGCCTCCAGGAGCTTAACAAAGAGGACTACAAGGTTACAATGAATAAAGCGATCACTGAGTTTTATAAAAGTGGGCAGACAACAACTAGCACCCTGAAGCAGACGTTAATTACCTTGAAGAATCAGGTTTGATATTCACTCATTATATCATTCTTATAAGCCTCGTCATTAGAGTACTGATGCTAATTGATCGTTGCTTGCAGATGCATACAGCTGTGGACGATATTGATGGTTTGGATGATGTCGAGAACAGTATTCTCAACTACAATCAAGCTGTGATCCATTACCACATGCGACAGTATTCAGAATCTATATGCATCGGGGAGAAGCTCTACCAGTTTCTTGAACCTTTTGGTATGTTTCAGAATGCAAATGAAAACTTCTTGTACAGTAGAGTGTTGAACAATGAAGGTTTTTTTTTTT